GCTTGGAATCTCTTAATTTTTTATTTTTATTTTCTTTTTTCATTTCTTCATTCTTATTTATTCAATTGTTCTATTATTACTTGTATTTTATTTCACTATTATTCCATTTCAGGTTTATTTTGATTAATATTATTGTCATTTTCAGCTATTCATTTTCAATTCTTCTTTTTTAGTTGTTTCAGGGATTTCAAATCATTTTATATTGTAGACAATGGAAGTCCGAACTAATGAAATTCATCATGAAACATTGCCAATCACCTTCAAACAAACATCGAAATAGTGAGTTTGTACTACCAGAATGGTAGTGCTAGAGCTGCTGCTCCTATGTTCAATGATAATCATCCAGGAAGAAATGTACGACACAAATACGTTTCGGAATTATTGAAAAAATTTATGGAAACTGGATCTGTTAATAATAAAAAGCATAACCGTTCAGGAGCTGTCAAAGATGAAACTATATGTACTGCAGTTTTAGGACACGTTGGAGTAATAGAAAATTCGCAATCTCTCACTAAGGTATTTCGAGAATTCTCAAATGTTTGCAAGATCCCTCATGAGTACAAATTTCATCCATATAAGATTAGACGTATCGAGTTTTGTAAGAGTCTCACTGAACGGATCAACTTGCATCAGAATTTCTTGTATAAAATCTGTTTTTCGGATGAATGTACGTTCAGTTCAAATGGAGAGGTAAATCGGCAAAATTGTCAATATTGGAGTGATAAGAACCCTCATTTATACCGTCAAGTTCATACCAAACGATCTCAAAAACTGAATGTTTGGGCAGGAATTTTAGGTGACCACATCATAGGACCTTTTTTATCGATGATAATTTGACTAGTGATAGATATTTGGATACGGTGGAGAATTGAATAATACCATGCATCAATAGGGCAATTGAGGAAGATATAAATTTTAAATTTATTCGAAAACGAAATAGTTTTTCAGCAGGATGGTGCACCTCCTCATTATGCAGCTCCTGTGCGACAATTTTTGTATGAAAAAAAGAAAGGATCAATAATTCGTTCGTTCAATATCCCACACCAGACGTTGATTTTTTGGGAATACTGGCTTTTACAGTTTATTACCCAGTTAGGATTATCCGCTGCCCAATAGCGACAATTCTGTGATGACACTACTACATTTGTAGGAAAGTGGCTTCGTCGGTATTGTATAAAATATTTTTTAGGAAATTTCTATTGTTTAAATATTCCCCTTGGGCCCATAAACAATATTCCAGGCGTCTTGCTTCGTCGCCTTCTTGAAGTGTGTGTCAAAATTTTGGCTTGAATGGTTTAATATTCTTCGCCTTGAGACATCTCCGAATAGTTTCTCGTGGAATATTCATATCTAAAGTGGCATTCCTTAGGATTATTTCCGAATGATTTCATCATTCCTGTCATTCCTGTTTCGTCTTTGTACAGGATTACTTTTTAACATCATTTTTGATACGGCACCAATTTCATTGAATACTTTATTTATTTTATTTACCGTACCGCAGCTAATACGAGGACGATCTGGATGTTATAAAAAATCCCGATTTTCGACTAAGAAAAAATATCGTAGTATGCCCTAAAACTTTAATAAACATTTCAAATTTTGTCCCAAGGTAGACCTTTCAGTACTTGACATTTCAAAAAAAAATTATTAAAATCGGTTTACAACTTCAAATTTTAGGGGGTATTTTCCATTTCCATTAAAAAATCCGTCACTCGTTTGCATAGTACAGCTTTAAAAATTTTTGAGAATGAAGACAGTAGAAATGTTGAGTCCCAGAAAGGTTCAAGAAAACTGACAAAAAAATCTGTCAAGGGTCAGTTACAAATCTTTTTCAAATTTACAGGGGTTACTAATTATTAAAGAATTATCCCAAATGAGGTGGATCTTTTTTGTAACTCACCTGCTAGTATACTCGAAGATTTCTGGAAACAAAGTCAGCAATCTCACACCAATAAGAATTACAAATACAAAACAGTTCAAATATTTGGTTTAGTATCACAATCACCAAAATTTCCTGCGATTGGAAAATGAAGAACGCAGTTGAAAGTATTGACGTCTGCTCACCTGTGGCTGAAGGGTGTTTTGCTGCAATTGAGTATAGTCATTAACTAAATAAAGTCTGTATTAATAATCTCTTATATACGGCACGGTTTCCATCCATCCTCCAACCCCTGATCTGCGCAATCCATAAATTCCATTACCACGTCGTGTTCCGAGGAAAATCAAATACTCAACCGCGAAACAGTTGTCACTCATATCGGAAAATATTAATAGCTTATGCGGCGACGTTTGCCTAATGGGAGTTCGAGATCAACTCTACCCACCCAATGTTTCACTTATAATTGCTTCTGGTTGTTTTGAAAACGTTTTTGACTTCTTCGTTTCAATAGAGTAGATCTAAACCCTGAAGGAGAAGGAGAGGGATGGATCGGTTTTCAACAGGAATAATGGAATTATGAAAAACTGAGAAGTTTTACAGGGTCTTTCTACAGAAACGGCCATCTACATCTGTCAAATTAGTTGTCATTCATTTTCATGTATTCAGTCTGTTTTGCCGTATCACCATGGACGTTTACAGCAATTGACAATACGTGCAAATAATTAAATTTCTCAATCAAACGGGTGTTCTGTTTGGGCAACGTACCACGCGCTTCACCCATTTAAAAGCCACCATAATAATAATAATAATAAAAGAGCAGGAATGGACACTAACACCTTTGGCCTTTGGTGAGTTGCGACACCACTTACCCGAGCAACTGGTGCAAAACTGGACCGGCAGCCCAGGCGCACCCGGGAAGGAGAACTCTATTCTCCCTCCGATACCGGCCATGGGTCCACAGGGCTAACCACCCGGTGGACCCAACACTTGGTTCCCAATAATCATGGAAGGGGCCCCCACAATCGACCCGCTCGGAGGGGTCAGAAGCAAGGTGGTGGGGCCCATAATGATGATTTGTCTACCGATGGCAACCCTGGCAATGAAAACGGACATTTTGAGTGGACACATGAGCTAAGAGATAGCCTTATGCATTGCTACGAGAGTAGTGAGCCCGCGCGAAGAGGGTACATGGCGAGATTGCATGCTCTGTGATGTGAAACACATCCGGAGCGTGCCGCCTTTTCCGCCCAAAACCTTAGGGATTACGTATCTTATCTTCGACGCCAGGGATATTTAGCTCCTTCCCAGCCTGCTAACGAAGTGGTAGAAGTGACAGTTCTACCACCCGTTGGCACAGCTGGAGAGGAGACTCGCACCATACCACCAATGGAGACGACAATCAGAACACGCAGGGCGCTCCACAGAATTGGGCCCCTGAAGCCACAACAACTGGCTTGTTTGGATGCGAAGGTTCGTAGTGTTCTAACAGAAGAGGCTGACATCTGGCAAATCAACACCGCCGTGTATAACGTCGTCCAATCGCTTTCCGAATCGGAAGGACGAAATCCCGGCCTTGCGGTTCGGAAGATTGAACGGCGTGCACACAAGATGGAGGCTAAGAACACGTCGGCGAGACAACACGCGTCTCGTATCCAATGTGTGATGGATTACAGGGCGGCCAATAGGCCTTTCACGCCCGCAGTGCGGCGAATAGCCGCCAAACTACGACGTATCCATCACACTTCAAGTCAAGGTGTGCTGCTGACCACCAAACAGCACTACCCTGATAGGATACGAATGCTAGTTGCTGCTAAGAAGTCACTAGTGAGGTAAGCGAGAGGTATCGCGGAAAACCTTAGGTTCCGCGAGAAACCTTCTCGCTTATTTCAAGAGCCTCCACGTGTTGTGGATAATCTGCCGACCACTGAATCCAGGTGGAATCCTTCTGGAAGGATATCTATGAACACCCGCAGCCACTCAACTTAGACACTCCAGCCCTAGCGCAGTTCGAAGCTTTCAACAGAGAGCTTCGACAGCCTGAGCTCAATGAACTGTGCAACCCGATAACCTCGGATGACGTTAGAAGAGCCCTTGTGGGTTCCGAGAACTTTGCTGCTCCAGGCCCAGATGGGCTGAACACTTATTGATTGAAAACACTACCAAGCACCCACCGCCATCTGGCCAGAGTTATCAACTCATGTTTGGACGGAGAGCAGCATATTCCGAATGGGTTTGTCTAGGGGCGGACCGTTCTTATCCCCAAAAACGGAGATTTGTCGATTCTTAAGAATTACAGACCGATAACATGCTTGAATTCGTGATATAAGTTATTTACAAGCATCTTTTACACACGAATACTCATCGCAGTTGACCGAGTGTTCAAACGAATATATGAGCAGAGAGGGTCGAAGAGAGGAGTCGCTGGATGTAAAGAGAACCTGCTCATCGATATATGTGTAACGCAGGACTCGATACAATATAAGCGTAACCTCTTTATGGCCTGGATCGATTACCGTAAGGCATTTGATACAATTTTGCATGAGCTCATCTTGCATTTGCTCAGATGCTTTGCGGTACCCGACAAAGTACCGAGATGCATTGAACAACTCATACCACTTTGGCAAACTCGCTTTACCATAACATCTGGTCAAGCAAGAGTCCAAACAGGGTGGGTCACTTTTAGAAGGGGTGTATTTCAGGGTGATTCCCTCAGTCCCTTTCTCTTCTGCATCTCACTATTGCCGTTATCCGTTGCGCTCAGAAACACTCGAGGGTATAACTGTGGCACCCCCGGAAACCGGAGGCACAAGGTCACCCATTTGTTTTATATGGATGATCTTAAACTTTATGCCTTTGAAGAGAAGGATCTCCATCAGTCCTTGAGGGTGGTAGAAGAGTACACACATGCTAAGGGTATGAAATTCGGGACAGACAAATGTGCAATGGTCCATCTCAAAAGATAACGATGCGGGGACTACGGAGAGGATGTGCAGCTCGTAGATGGAAGCATCTTACACCATCTGGATGCCGGAGAGACGTATACTTACCTCGGGGTGGAACAACGCCACTCACAAGAGGTAACAGCAGTGAAAAACTCTCTCCGCGTCAAATATCAGCACAAACTTCGACAGATCTGGTCATCGGAACTGTCGGGGAAGAACAAAGTTGCTGCAACAAATATGCTTGCCGTTCCAATCTTACTCTACTCGTTTGGAGTAGTGAAGTGGACTCGGGAGGAGCTGTATCAACTCGACGTAAAGACCCGAAAAATGATGCATCTCTATAGGAGTTTGCATCCCAAATCGTCCGTTCCACGGTTGTACTTCCCCCGACAACAGGGAGGCCGTAGACTTTTGAGTTTGGAGTGTATACATGACAGAATGGTGCTGGTTACAGCCTGTAAAGTCGTCAGGAGTTCGGATCCCCTTCTCTGCATGGTCCGTGACCATGAGAGAGCAGGAATTGGAGCCCGAGCTCCAATTCCGCCAAGATTTTTAGCACTGTCTACCCAGTCCATGTCTGCGTTATCGAGAGTGAGCCTAAAGTTACACTGAGTTTCTGGTATTCGTCTTTGAGACCCTATGTATGAGGTCAAAGTTTTATTAGGATTGATTTTCAGTCCATGATTCTCCGAGTATAGGAATGTTTTATGCAAATCTGTATTTATATTGGCCACGCAACTTTCTGTATGAGTGTTATGAGAAAACAAATATAACTGCATATCATCTGCGTATAGATGTACTTGACAATGTGATAAGAAAGTGGGGTAATCAAAAATAAACACTGAAAACATCAAGGGTCCTAAAATACTTCCCTGCGGTACACCTGAGATTGTTTCTTTCAGAGATGACCATGAGTAATCATCCAGTTTGACCCTCTGTGGTCGGCCTGTGAGATAGCTGGTCATCCATTTAAGAGAAATGTCATCGAATCCTATTAACTTGAGCTTGCTGACGAGTAAATCGAAATTAACTAAATCGAGAGCTTTACTTTGATCAAGTAGTACTAAAATGATGACTTTTGATTGATCTCTGAATCTCGCAAGGTCGTCGATTACTTTCAAAAGGGCAGTCTGTGTTCCGTGTTTTTTTGCGAAACCCAGACTGCTCGTACGGGAGTATTCGATTTTTTTCAAGAAAAGCTCTTACTAGACGGAAAACATTTTTCTCGAATATTTTAGAGAATGAGGACAGAATGCTAATAGGGCGTAGGTCACTGAACGTGGTAGATGCATTCTTTTTCGGAATTGGAATTATATTAGCAACCTTCTGGAAAAATACCCTGTCTGAAGGACTCGTTGAAAATATGTTTAACTTCATCAATACAGTGTGGTATCACTAATCGTCCTACCACTATTGTGGTGGATATTGAGGTGGATAGATTTGAGTCCATTGGTTCGATAAACGATCGATCAACTCTCGTACGTCAAAGAAACGCAAGATCTGCAGAAGACATCGCCGCTGTCTGTGCGACTGTGCAGGAAAATCCGAGGCAGTCGATTTCTCGTTGCTCACAAGAACTTTGCCTTTCGCTGACCACAACTTGGCAACTGAACCTGAATGGGTACGTGAACAAACAAAGTTGTTAAATTCAGGACGATTCCAATCCACATGAGATCCAAGAGCGTCCAATGCATCCCAAAAAGTCACTGTTTGGTGTGGATCCTCAAGCCAACATAACCCATGCCATCGGCCAAATTCAGCCTAATAGTGATAAAACACTACCAACAGTACAGCCAGGTTTTGGGCTGTACTACAGCTGTACTGAAGGTAGCCGATGATTATTTTCAAAGCAAGTGACCGAAATCAATGTACTCCTGGCTCTTCTAGATTTCAGCAGGGCACTTGACACGATCAACCATGAGCTGTTATTGTCGATCTTACATTATATTGACTTGTCAGATGATTCTGTTATTTTTTGTCGAAACCATTTACACAACAGACGCCAGAAAGTTGTTCTTGATGGAATACATTCCACACCTTTCAATTTAAAGACGGGCGTTCCTCAGGGATCAATCCTTAGCCCTTTTCTATTTAGGATATACACCCGTCAATCTGTGAAATGCCTTCAGTATTGCAGTGTACATCACTATGCCGATGACACCCAAATCTATTATTCTCTTGAAGCACACAGGCTAGATGACGCTAATAGACGGATCAGTCATGATCTCGACACATTCTTATCCCTTGCTGAAAACATATGCTTGATGAA